AAATTAGAATTAGAGCTTTGATAATGGTTCACATTCGTGATCGATGAGTCACAGAAATTATTATCACAGATATTTGCTGAGGAAGAAACATTTCAGTGACATTTCATTAAGAAACATTTCATTATCAATATGTGCCCTCTGTAGATATACTAAAATATACACATCTATCATCAATAAAATAAATCAAGAAACATTGTGATACCAACCTTAAGGCACTTCTCTTCGCTGTTCTTATTTTGTTCCTGGGATCCTGTACAAAGCCGTGAAGCACCTAGGACGGTGACGTCACATTCAGGTTCCACGTGCTAACATGCTTCAGAACGGAAGATCTCGTTGTCCAAGATCCCCAGGAACAAAATACGAACAGCGAATACCTAGACTTAACTGGGCTGTTCCTAGGTATCGTTTGAGAAATGAAGATACTGTAGGCATAGTGGGCATTGGGATAGATAGTGGAATAAGAATCAGGAGGATGAGAGTGCAGGAGAGTTGGCAGTCACGCGATTCGGTCAGCTGTTCTTAATGTTTTCTCAGCATTATCATGTATTCTATTTAAGTTAAAACATAGTTGGAACACTCATCAAACCTTTCTTTTCAGTTGTTAATCTAGAGCTTGAAATGCCCCGTAACAATGGGCGATGATTGCCAACTCTTATCAACTCTCATCATTGTTTGACCGAGGCTTAAGAATGCAGTAGAAAACGATGAGAAACTGAACAGATAATGAAACGGGCTACCATAACCTTCAAGAACAGTATGGATATAACAGCATGAAGAATGTACAGCAGTCATAGAATGTGGATAACCGGAATAACAGAATAAAATGTAGACTCGCCATATTACATGCCAAATACAATGGGATGCAAGATGGAATACGGATTTAAACAGAAAGAATTCGAAATACAACGGAGACAAACAACATGGAGTTTAAATGGAATGGAACATTTAATTTTAGATACGTATCAGACACAATAAAACGCAGGCCGAAGACTGTAGTGAAACTCTCGCACCGCAAAAATTAGATCAATTATTTATAGTTTACTAAGTATCAAATCATTTGCATTTGGTAAAATCGAACTTACGAGTTACGGATGTGCATTCGCTACGCTATAGTTATATATTATGCTAGTTGCAAAATTCAAGAAGGGTAACCTTAATTTACAATAACCTTTTCTGTCCTGAGCTATTGCTGGCACCCATTATATTGTCATTTTTTATTATATCAGACATTACAACAGCAGGAATCCTTTGTTTCCTGCTGCTGTGAATGATTGCTTGAAAGAAGTATAATTTACTCATAAAATGCCAACGCCGTGACATTAAATGGATTAACAAAATTAAGCCAAGTCGTCTATGACGTCACGACTATCAATCGAGGGAATTAAACAAAAGAATGTTTCAATGAGCAATGCATTCCAACGTGATTTATAAAGCTCTGACTTGTGCAATTGTTTTAGCCGATTCTAACAATTGCACGAGCTTTATAAATACCTTACCAGTTGTAGTATTATTGTTCTGTGAACAATGAATGGCTAAGCAGAGCACGGTATTATGTAGTGCCTGCGAGCAAAATGCATGCATGAGTTTAGAATGTGCCTGCAAAAATGTTTTGTTAGTGCTGTTCGAGGGGCATTTCACTCCAAAAATCCCGTACACTTCGTCAAAAAATCCGGAAAAAATCCGAACAAATCCGGAAAATCCAGCAGATTTTCTCTTCAAAAATCCGCTAAAAATCCGGGAAAAATCCGCTAAAAAATCCGCGGATTTTTAAAAATCCGAAAATCCCGTACGCTTCGTCAAAAAATCCGGAAAAAATCGGAACAAATCCGGAAAATCCACACAATTCCGGAAAATCCAACAGATTTTCTCTTCAAAAATCCGGGAAAAATCCGCTAAAAAATCCGCGGATTTTTAAAAATCCGAAAATCCCGTACGCTTTTTTGGAGTGAAATGCCCCTCGGTGCTGTTAACATAATTAAAATGTTAAGCTATATGTCATGACCATAATGACAGTAAAATCGCCTAACGTTGGCCAGAGTGGAAAAAAATACATGTGCATGTCGCCATAGAACAAGTAAGAAACTTCTCTAAATACATCACATATACCTTTTACTTTTTAGACCGGACGTATCGGAATAAAATCCAATAAATAGTACGCAAATTCTCACGGTCCCATGCACTTGTGACTTGGTCAAAGGGGAATTCGTACTATACAAGATTATTTCCATATCATTATAGTCGCAATTATCGCAGTTGCTCGCGTTCAGGTCTAAAATTCCATCTCACTAATGACTGGTTCACACTGGTCGTAAGAATCGGGGATTTCCATTGTCTGTGGTCATTGGTGTGGAAATGCTTTGTCTGTCGGAAAAGAATACAATAGATCGCCGATGAATTACGACCAGTGTGAACCGGGCTTAAAGCCTGATTCTCATATGTCGCCGACGTCGGCGATGCCCATTGTCGTTGATCATTGATGAGTAAAATCTTTTGTCTATGTTCTTCTTCACTGATCTCAAACAATGAAATCGCCGACGTCGGCGACTTGTGAGAATCAGGCTTAAATCGCACAAATTTCAGTTTTTAATTCATCCGATCTGGTGCATGTTTTGGCTTTGCATTTGGCCCTTACTGCCTTAGCACGATTTTGTCCGGATAAAATCAAAGACCTGCATGCACTGGCCACTGTTTGAACTTGCGTGATTTGCATTGTTCAAATTTATACAGATTACAGTATATACGAGAGGGCGTTGTAAACTCTATTGTTATAGAATATAAGCGTATAGCTAGTCTTAAAGCCATTTTCCATGGCACTTTACCTGCACAGAACAAGCTGCAGGTTTTCTGAAATATTCAGCGTTGTTCGCGATTTTTTGTTCCGTTTCTGAGGAATGAATAGAATATTGGTTCGGCCAAATTTAATTAAGTTTCCAATGCAGGTGTTTGTCCAAAGAAGCTAAAAGACTAAATTTGTTAACTCGAATTCGAAGTAACGATAACACACATGAAATGTTGGAGATGAGAAAGAAGACTGTGTTAATTCAAGTTCCGGTTTCAAATTTGCATGCATGCATGTACTTGTTGTTTTTGCAAATTTCTGAAAACGGTTTTCGTAATTTCAACTATTTTACTGTTGTTACTGCTGTAGCTTAGGGTACGTACTGTATGCTTCTTGGCACACAAGAGACGAGAGTGAGCAAAATTACTTGATCAAAACGCTGTTTCTCCTTGGGAAAGTCGCACAGCAAAACTGCAAAAGTACCAATGACGTTCATTTAGGCTTTACTACATTAATTATTGCCATTAGTTTATGTTTACAGAAATAGCAAACATGCCGAGTTTAATTTGGTTTCGGCAGGATAAAAAGATCTCGTGAATGTCCTCCTGAGTTCTAAAGAAATTTTAACAACAGCTTCTGTGACCTTATTGTAATTCCTTTTGCAACAATTTACAATAAAAAGTAACAAATTCTCATGCAGTTTCGAAAATGCAAAAAATCGAACCAAAACGGCAGACTTTTCCATGTTGAATTGTTTTAAGATCAAGTGGCGTAGCACAGATTGTATGCAATTATAAACATTGAAGTATGCACACAAAGAAATATTAATTAATAAACAGAGCAGGTCTTACCCGTGCTTTCTGCCAAGCCGCAATAGGATTAAAACATTTACAGATACAAATTAAGCGTGTTTACACCTTAATAATTCAGGATAAAGCCAGTTGTCAATGGAAGACTCTGGTAAAAGAATTACTATCAAACATTTATACCGCCGGTAGCTAGTAATGTCCTCCCCCGCTGAAGTTACAGCATGACAAAGCACTTGACAAAATAAAATATTTGCCAAAATCATTGGCCTTAATTATAAATCCCAAACAAATACTCATCGTTGAATAGCCCTCATCGTTGTTCTTAATCTTTACGTTTGTAACAAGAGCAGTTACAAATCAATCAATCAAATTCGGAACAGTTATTTTTACCATGCGTTTTTCGCGTTGTTGCTTTGTTGTTACAGCCGTATTAAGCGATATGACAATAGCGAAGTCCAATAGACAATCACACTAAGTAATATTGTCGGGCAATTATTTATATTAACTATCAAGCCTATAATAAGATAAATCATATAGTTTATTCATAGTATTGGATAGTATTCTGATGATCCGGAAGCCCTTGGGATGTTTTGTACACTGAATCATTAAAGATAATGTAAATACGAAGAGAAAATTCCATAGCGTATGCTGGATATACCGCTACATAATAATATGCCGTAACAAATCAGTGATACGTGCATGATAATTATAAATACGGATTGTGTACTGATGATACAAGAATACGGAAAGAATTTGCGCATTAAAAAATACCAATCAATACACTCAGTGTTCAGTCCAATATACAACAGATGTTCATTGAGAAAGAGACATATACTTACCCTTGTGTTAGTTGCCGTGATATTACGTTGGCAATGCGAGCTGGGTTGTTCAAAGGTTGCGAACTATCTTGCTGCTCCATCAGCGACCGCGGTACGTGGGATGTCAGAAAACTCATGGGATAAAAGAGAAAAAAACATATGCAATTAGAATCGAGTCTCTTAGCAAACACGACAAATTGCAGACAAATATTATCTCCTTGGCTTTCATGGCTATCAGTTTACTGCTCGTTAGAGTTAGGGGTCCACAACCACCGGAAAATCATCCCACAATACGAATTTTATACCCGGATTTCTTTTACCAAGCTAGTGGAAGATTCTAAGCAGAATTGGAAATGTAGGTCTGCGAGCTAGCCTCCGTAACGCAGATGGTGATTCGAATTTCGCTCCCCACGGACCGCAAACCTGGGGAGGCATGTCCCATGGGGGTCTTGCCCCCCCCCCCCCAATTTTCGCTGAAAGTGAATATCGAGTGAGTAGCAGGCTACCCCAAGTCTGCGCAAAATTAAAGTGTGCAAACGTTTGAACTGTGTCACAATAGAGCTAGAGGTTCAGATTTGACTCCACTACGACTACCTCTCACTGACTTAGTACGCATCTGATTGGTTAATCGGACATATCGTACGCATCTGATTGGTTAATGGTCCCTTAATGGTAGTGACAGTGAAAGTCAAATCTGAACAGCTCTCTAAGAAATTTTTGGGGACGTGGATAAGGTTTATTTCCGGCAACGATTAATAACAAGATGAAAGGAGGAAAACAGTGGGAGTCAAGAAATCTGGCGATGCGGGACTGGAAAATCGAAGGGAAACGTATGAGATGTTTAGAGACTATCCAACCTCGTTCCCAGGAAAACGAGGATGGAGACTTTTTGTACAAATATTTTGCAAATACTTTTTAGAAGAAATTTTCACCATTGTCAGCATTAGTAAACGGCGTGCATTTTAAGTCCATAAAGGACAATTCTTCTTTTTAAAGTTAAAATTTCTCTGTTACATAGTCAATTTCGATCTCGTACGCAGAGCCTGTCCAATAGAATATTTGACTCTGTGTACGAGATTGGGACTGATACGCGCAAATTAATGAGTACGTTGTGCTCTCCAGGCATGATATTTTTACGCAGTTTGAAATTCACCATACAGCTAAACGATTGATAGAATGGAAAGCATATGAAAGCTGGAAATTCAATCCTCGATTATTAATATTATTGCGGATTAGTATATTGTTGCAAATAATTAAATTTCAACACTACAGCATAACTCCAAAGAACTTTCCAGGATAAGATTATTCAATCCGCAAAAATATAGGACAGCTTACTCGACATAGATTTTTAACCGGCGTAGCCCCCTCCCCGTTCCACTATGTACGCCTAAAAATCATATCACACAAAACGACTGGATATGTCATATATAATGTTTTTCTGTGCTGGTGTTGTGTACTCAGGTGAATATTCCAAAGGTCGTAGGCTCGATTCCCACCGTGCCCGGGCATATTTTCCAAGCTCGCCCCGTGTGGATATACACTCACGTGACGGTAACATCACAAATGTCATATTTAGCCACAGGCGGCCCAATCTCGCAAGGGTCAGTATAGTCTGTATAGACTTATAGTATAAATGTATATTATATTAATGTATATTATAGTAAAAATATGTCGTAAAATATAAATTTTAAAATGAAATTGATTTGCCTATTTGATAGTGTGTGTTCTCCTTTTATTCCTCCTTTGTTGGACTAATATTTTCCAAGACTTTGTACTCGATGTTACTAGTATACATGAAACATGATAAAGGCTAACGATTCCCGATCGTCGATACGACGGCACGGCACTTCGAATCGAAAATTCTCACACTCAAATCGCTTTATTCTCCAAAAAAATTCGCCAGCATGTAGAACAGATGCCGTTCTTCGAAACTACGGGGATACTTCGGCGAGATGTACAAGTTTTGGACCGTATTTTAACAATGGAAATCAAAACCCATTTTATATTGAACTTGCCCAGGCCGAAAATTACTACGGCGAACGTCTGCGCAACCAGGCCTCCTTTACCGTTGGGATTTACAGGGGGGGGGGAGGATGCCACTAATATATAAACGATCATATTTCGAATTAAAGTATCATATTCTACCATGCTTTCCAACAAAGAGCCGCTGTATATTTCTTCTTCCTTAAATTCCTACAATCTACGTTGTTTAGTTTTCTTTTCTTCGACAACATCTCGAGTTTTATACAGTATCCGATCGAAGGATTTTTTATTTTGAATATCAAATTCAAATAATGTAAACAAGTCGCTATCACGGTTGCGATTGGTTGGCTGTTACCGGAAATATCTGCTCCCCCCCCCCTGTAAATCCCAACGGTAAAGGAGGCCTGGTTGCGCAGACGTTCGCCGTAGTAATTTTCGGCCTGGGCAAGTTCAATATAAAATGGGTTTTGATTTCCATTGTTAAAATATGGTCCAAAACTTGTACATCTCGCCGAAGTATCTCCGTAGTTTTGAAGAACGGCATCTGTTCTACATGCTGGCGAATTTTTTTGGAGAATAAAGCGATTTGAGTGTGAGAATTTTCGATTCGAAGTGCCGTGCCGTCGTATCGACGATCGGGAATCGTTAGCCTTTATCATGTTTCATGTATACTAGTAACATCGAGTACAAAGTCTTGGGAAATATTAGTCCAACAAAAGAGGAATAAAAAGAGAACACACACTATCAAATAGGCAAGTCAATTTCATTTTAAAATTTATATTTTACGACATATTTTTACTATAATATACATTAATATAATATACATTTATACTATAAAGGCCCGCTCACACTACACAACGATAACGATACGATAAATTGTAAACACGCGATAATTGGCAAAAAAAATTGTGTTAGAGGCCAGAATAAAACGAAAATTGTAAAATTATCGTTTGACGATAACGATAACGATTTTAAAATCGCTCAGGTGAGCGATTTTTTTTTCAGTCTGACGATAACGATAATTTTTTGACCAATCAGCGCGCGTATACAAGTTATCGTATCGTTATCGTTGTGTAGTGTGACCTGGGCTTAAGTCTATACAGACTATACTGACCCTTGCGAGATTGGGCCGCCTGTGATTTAGCTAGACATTTCAAACTGATATAAATAAGGAGAGGATGCCATTCTAAAACATGACAACTATTGATATAGGAGACATAGGATAGATATTGTATCGGTTCATTGTATGGACTGCTTCTTCTCATTTCCTTTATTTCTTATCAGGCGAATGGTAGCTAGGGCCTTCTTGTGTATCGTGGTCATGCAGCTTGGTCTCTTGCATCATTCTCCATATATATCTAATTTCTACCATACTCTTCCTAATTTCATTACTCCATCTTTTCTCTTGTCTTCCACTGGATCCTTTTTCTATTACAATTAGCTTATTTTGTAATACTCAATTGCAATCAAATGTCCAATCCATTTAATTCTTTAATGCGTTTTCTACTTGTTGTCTATGTCTTCTGACCACCTGCTAATTTGTAAGATGTTCTCGGATTGATATTCACTTATAAACACCGTAACATTCTCATCCTGGTCATCTGTGACAGCTTTTCTACATAGGGTTTACATTTCTTCTCCATTTAGCATCACTGGCCTAATGGTATAAGTTTCAATCTCCTGATCAGTTTAGCACGTGTGTAGTAACACTGCACACTTCCATTCATTTGTTCTATTCTTTACCAATGCCAGTACATGATATCTCCTTCTCTTCTGACCACAAACTTTCCCAAGTATTTAAACGTCACAACCATAGTTGCTTAAGCCGCGTTTCGTGTATGCCATCAACTGTATTGAAATTTCTCTCTCTTTGCTTGTCTTCATTAGTTCCGTATTATACGTGCATTCATCAACAGTCCACCGACTCATAAAATGCCAATAATCGTATCTGTACCATTTTTTCCTATCAGTTTAAATTATTAAATAATTTGAATTGAGCAGATCCCATATGTTTTTGCCCTTTTTAACGAGTGGTGAGCAAATCAACAGCCATATTGACCAGCAGAAGGCCTAATGCAATTTAGTATTTTTGCACAAGTGAATATAACAAATCCTATACAAGTTGATTGGTCAAATTTGACGTATTAAGCTGTTAATATAGTTACCTACAGGTGAATATAACAAAACCGAAATTTGCAAAATGGCGGCTAGCCGTTTTCAGGTGGAAGTTACTGATAAAGGAATAAGCGAAAGTAGAATAAATTCAGTCCCAAAAAACACAACCTCGACTTCGTCATGGTGAATATTTAACAATTATTCGTCGAAGGCGAAGTGATTACCGGTGAATATTCACCGAGACGAAGTCGAGGTGAATATTTACCGTAATCACTGAGCCTGAGGCGAATAATTGTTTTAGTATAAATTTTTAATGAATAAAACAAAGTATAATCCAAGTTATCCAACTATTATTTTAATTAAAATTCAGAAACAAAACTGTTTTCGACCGGTTTACGGTTACTGTCAGTTTTAGTGTTGTATAGTCAGGTTTCGCACGCTTTCAAAATGGTCTCCTGTGCGACTTTATTACTTTATTAATACAAAGTCGTTTTTCTCGATTTCTGCTTAGAGTATAAACACAATGATGGAATGACTTTTTCACCAGACTTAGAATTAAATAATAGTTTCTGTTTAACATTGATTTGTTCAGGAAATGGCTGAGAAATTTGGTAAAATGAAATGTAAAACTATATCGTTCGAAATATAAAAGTTTTAATTCACTTTTCACTTTACAAGTCTCAAAAACACAATAGTACAATACAGCGTCAAGACACCATACAGCACAATGAAAACACGACATATATCAAAAGAAATAGTATCGTACAAATTGAGATATTTAGTATAGGATACAAAACAAAATTGTTTTAAAAAGAATATCACGGCTTTTCCCAATAGTCGGGATAGTTTTTGCTATTTGTTTGAAGCGAATGTTTCGGAGTTTTAAATAAGTTTTAAATTGTCCGTGAATATGTTTGACACAGTAAAATAATAAAGAAATCCTACCCTAAATACAACATTTTGTGCTTTTTTCCTTTTTCTGGGACGATTTTTTCAAAATTTTGTCGATTTTGAAACCAAATTTGCAGATTCATTCTTTTTGAAAAGCATTATTTACTAGTCTGCTAGTAAATAATGCGTCAGATTTACTAGTGAACTAGCCAATCAGAACGCGCGAAAGCTCATTTGATATGCAAAATTTATACTAATCCCCGATAATCACCTCGCCTTCAGTCTACGAATAATTGTTAAATATTAGAGGGCTAGCTGGATACCAAATGTCCAAATCCTACATCGAAAGAGTATGTGTCACGGTACAATGTATACTTATATATGTATTTTCAATGTCTTCTCTTGCGATTGTCTTACCAGCGTATTCAGCGCAATGATCATCCATTTTTTTGTTTTTCTTTTATGGTTCCCAAAATCAAATCAATCACTTGACGTCCAATGCATCCAACCGCCGCAATTAATTTATATAGCAGCTTCTTCTTTCTTCTTATATATATACATGCAGTTTGATTGATTTTTTATTGACATCTTTATATAAAACACGAGATCCATTTCACAAGTTAAAATACGTACTCCTCAATGGAGACGTGTACCTATGCTGGTAAACTAATTTCTAATAAATAAATATCAAAATATTCACAAACGTTACAGAATACACATGCAAAGAAACTAATATACTACAATTATTAAGAAATTTTAGATTTAAACTGAACGAGAGATTGAGCTCTAATAATAATCAGTAATAAACGAAC